GAAATTACGCTGCCGTGGTCTGTCATCTCATCAGGGGAAGAGTTGTGGCTGGTCTGAGCAAGAACGGTTTCGATTACCTCAACAACATGGTCACTTGAAGCCAAGGTTTGTCGAGATCGTTTTTTCAATAAGGATGGAGGCCGGCCCGGAGGTCCTGAATTAGTTCCAAAGGAAAGTTGTAAAAAATATAATAAGTGATAAAATTTATAAAAGAATTAGTATGGTAAGTTTTGGTAAGGCAAAATTAATGAGGAGTTTAAACAAACAAAAATGCTCACTGATTTGATCATAAAAACCAATTATTTGATAGAATGCAGAATTGTTAGTCACGTCCTAATTGGCTTAGATTATCATCTAAATTAGTGCCGTCCTTTGACCAAATGAGGGTCAGACCACATTATACACAAAAATGTACGCCTTAAATACTAAAGCGAAAAAGTCCACATAACTATTCGTTTTATTATTTTTGAGCCATCAAATTTGCAATAGCGACCTGTTGCGTGCTAAGATAGAATAGTTTGCTAATATGTTAAAATCATTCCAAAATTTAAATCGTTTGTGAAACGATGCTCTAAGTGCATATGCATGCTTTATATATTGTGAGCTTGAAGGCATAAATCGCAAAGTCGAAAAGTAAACTGAATCATGTAGAGAATTAGACAAATGACTATTTTAAAAGATTTAAAACACGAATTCATCGGTAAATTTACGTTTAATAGACTTGGAATTGTCTGTATCAGAAACGTCTCCACACGTCGGAGCCACTTCCACACTTTCCTCATCACTCATGGGGCATAGTGCACTCAAATCATAAGATCGACGATTTTCTGTGGATATAAAAATAACATTAGAATTAGCTCGATCGGTGGCATTTCATTTAAGAGAACTTTCGCTTACTCAGAGCTTCGTTGACCAAATGATGATTTATTTTCTCTTCACGTTTGAATTTGGCCTAAAAATTAATAACTCCAAAGTCAAATATACAAAAGACTTCGTGCCAAAAAGCTTATAGAGTTACCTTTAGTTGGGATCGTGTTCTGTGGGGAAACAAGAGGCCCATTAAGTAAAAATCTGTCCCGATTGTGTTTAGGGCTCGATAAAATAAAGTTGTTTCTTTTTCTGACCATCGTGATCCAGGCAATGCCTTTGGAGGCTTAAAGCTGCTATAGGATGACGAAATAATTCCATTTTCTTCATTAACATGACGTAATATCCTGCCTTCAGAAGAAGTATCCCTCTGTATCGTTAAACTAGTTTCGTCAATGACAATATTTCCATCAGCGTCTATGCGCACCTGAGGTGCCAAGGGATCAATGAAATTATTGGTCTCCTTATTGTCAGATGATATAGAGTCACACATTGCATCCTCTTTAATCGGAATGTCGCCTTCCGAATCAAACGAATTGATGTCTTGCGTAATAGTGGAAACTTTATCATTGCAGAATTCAGCCTTTAAACTTTCGCGTTCTAGGCGATATCTTAAAAAATATATTGAAAAATTGTGTATAATTAATATGTAAAAATATTTCAAATAAGCCAAATCACGAGAAGCCAACACATTGTTACATTAAAAATCGTCATAAATATAGCAATTCAAGACAATCAAAATAAAATGTGTACTTTGGAGGAGGCTTATTAGCTGGAACCCAATTGAGGAGTGCTCGGAGGGGTACCGAAGATCGATCGAGAGGCTTGAATGGATCAGGCCCCTGATCAATTAACTTTCTCCTCAGCTTACGATGCTACTTTATTATACTCCGTATTCATACCTTTGTTTGGAGAAAAAGTTGAGGCTTTGAATCGCATTTTTCTGGAGTCTGGCGGACAGAAGTCTCATCAATATCAACGGAGACATTTCTTGTAATATAAGAAAGAATCAACTTACGACGTCACTTCTTCTATTCTACTATCATCGCTAAAATCTTTTGTTTGTTGATGTCTAAAATTAAGACACGAGTGAAAAGGTTACCGTGGAGGTTGCGGTAAGTCATCTATCGCAACCGGTGCAACCTGATTTAGAATGGCATTATGGGATACGCAGGGCGGAAGCACAGATTCGGCTAAGTTGCCCTTATCCGGGGGTCTATATTGTTAACAAAATTAATTAGATGATAACCTTGGATTGGAAGTGACGACATTTATTTTCGGTCTGAAAATCTTAGGCATGTTCTAGGATAAGAAAAGAGCGCTGTTTGTAGAGAGCCTAAGTCGTATAATGAAAGAAATATTAAAAACGTGTTATTAGAAAAACTACAACAAACCAGTTTTTCTCTGGTATTACGATAAGGCCACATTAAAAAATAAAAGGAAAGGCAATAAAATCTATTTTAATCTGTTATTAATCTGGGTGCCATTTCCAAGTTCACAATTTTTTAATACTAGTGTTCAAAGATTGAACGGTACCAGTCTGATTTATACACATATGATTTAAAGTATTTTCACTAAGCCTGAGCTTTATCCATGAAAAACGTTTTTAAGATACTGTCTTAAACGATCCACACAATCTAAAGCAATTATATTGTAAGTTATTTTTGCTTTTTATAGATACGAAGAAAGGCTGAGTTTCGAAGAATTTTCTGAGATAACATTGTTGGTGGTACTTCCATTTCGTATGAAGTGCATGAGGACGGATGAATCACGTTGTACTGCAGCTGTTTTGCTTTTATATGATATACATGTTGACGCAGTCCACAAAATTTCCTGACTCGTTTCGGATGAAAACGGGCTGATCTTTTGTACCCCATATGATAGACATCATCAGAGCTAGATGTCATTATTTTAAGAGTCTTACGTTAACACTAGGTCAATAACAGTACCAGACCTTTTATTACCTCTTATATAGACTCAATTACGTCAAAATAAAATTAAAAACCTAGATAGATCGATATAGAGTGGTTTGTTTAATTATCTTTTATATTGGCCCTGGTAGAGTGTGTGTGTGTGTGTTAGCGTCTATACGCAATACTGGTCGTAAATCAGAGATGAGCAGAGATGATGCTCTGCTCATCAAGGACTAATTATTCGATAGAAAACCTTGACCGAGACTGCATAATTCCATATGAAAATATGGTTGATATAATGAGATATGAGCTTGTAAGTATGAAAGTCAAGTTACGAAACCACTTGTCTTAAACTCTCTGTCTAGAGTCATTAACGTTTAACTCCAAAGGAAAGGTAGGAATGGGGCTGCGTAATCTGGCAACTCTAGTTTGTTTGATGAATTTACCATAACATGTTGGACGAGTGTGAGTAAAGTCAGAATCATCACCGAGCAGACAAATTGATTTGCCTTCTTTTTGACGGCGGCTCAACACCATTTCTCACTTTCAATCTATCAATCAAGCATAAGTAGTTCCTACTCAATTTGCTGCTACCTTTCCTCACATCCAATGTATTTCCTTAGCTATTAATTTCAATAGCCTCTCTTATCTTTCTTTTTAACCACAGACATACCATAATCAGCAAACCCACTAGTTTGAGACCATTTTATTTCATATCCAGTTTTTACTGTGTTCGGCCTTTGGATACAGCTTCCTTTACAAACATTTTTGTGTTCTCACAACCTCTTTCGAATAGGTTGGCATGTATCACCAACAAAACATCGACCAAATGAGCAAACAATCTTGTAGCAACCGGATCTCGAAAATGGATGATATTTCACTCTAAAAGATTACATAACAGAGAACAGTGTGAGGGCTTTTTGAACAATGCTTTTATGCCCCATTTCTTTACTAATTCGCTTATCTGTTTTGAGTGAAAGCATTAAGATAAAATTAGGGCATGTGAAAAGGTCTTAGTCTAGGCTAAAATATGCCCCTAAGGATCATTAGTCCTTGATTATCAGTGTCTGACTGAACTTTTTACAACTTTGATTTAGGACCGATATTGCGTATAGACGCTAACACACACATATACACACATACACACTCAGACAAAA